CTCAACAAAGCCCCACCCACTGAGTAACAGTCAATTTGTTGTGCTGTCAATCAGGTGGTCTGCAAGGAGGGGAAGGTGGGGAACCCAGACCTCCAACTCCTCTTCTCTGCCTCCAAGGCCTCTGTAATTAGTCTCTACTCCTCCACCACTTTCCAACGTTCAGGCTCCTACTGAGAAGAGTGGGCAGGAGGATGGTAAGTCCCACCCTGCCCAGCTCTGGCTGTCAGCGTTGGGGTTCAGGCCAGCTAAAATAGCCTCTGCTCCTCCTCCGCTTCAGTCTGCCTTGGGCTCCCAGGTGTAGAAAGGCGGCGGGAGGATGGTAAGTCCTGCCCTGCCCTGCCCAGCTCAGGCTGATTAGGAATTAGCAGACTGAAGTGCTAAGCCAGAACTTTCATGTGTGTTGAAATACTGTAATGTCTTATCTTTTTTCCCCCATTTCTCTCTCTTTGTCTGGTTTATTTTCTCACATCAGAAATAAATGCATATAAAATCATTATAAGACTAGAACCTTCTATATATTTACCTCGAAGTAGATCTGGTTCAGTTGAGTGAGACATATTAGAAGTTTTAAAAAAAACCATAGGATCAGGCTATAAAATGTAATCACCAGCCATTGCAGGGGATTATGGCTTAAAATGCTTACTGTGTGGATTTGTGGAGTGATTTCCTGGAAAAGACTAATTTTGAAGGCTGCACTTTATGCTATAGTGTGGTGTGTGAAGCCAGTGATAAGTATGAATCCTGTTTCTGTGGAATAGTACCAGCTTTTAGGGGAAAGGGGGGAGGGAGAGAACAATTTGAAATTTCACTAGCCTTGAAAATGCTGGCATTTTGGACATAGATGAGTCAGCAAATAGAGATGAAATCCAATTATTGCCTGGAGGATGTAAGAAAACTGTCCATCATAAAGCCGTTGTGAGTGGATTTCTCAGCATCTTCATTATAGAGGGCAGCCATGCTGGCTGGGGATGCTGGGAACTGTAGCTCAACACTAACCAGAGGGTGTCAGATTGGGAAGTCTGGGTAAGGAGGATGAAAGGCGGGATAAATTATTCCTATTGAGACATGCCCCCCCCCATCTAAGAAATGTTTTGTAGTTCCATGTATTACTTTTCTCAAAATAGAAACAGAATAGCAGCAGTAAAAGCATACCTGTGTTTCTACCTCATGACAGAACTTGAAATGACTAATGATAAGGATAAAATGACTACACACAAACCCCAACAGCTTTATAAACCTGCACACAAAACAGTCAACCTAAGCAAATAGCTGAGATTTACTCCTGAGCAGACAGTGTGATGTAGTGGTTGAGTGCTGGGCTACGATTCTGGAGACCAGAGTTTGAATCCCTGCTCAGCCATGGAACCCCATTGGGTGACCTCGAGCAAGTGACACTCTCTCAGCCTTAGTGGAAGACAAGGGAAACCTCCTGTGAACAAATGACAAGGTCCCCCATGATATTCTTACAAACAAGATAGTAAAATGTGGGCTAGACAATACAACTGTTAGGTGGATTAGTAACTGGTTGACTGACTGAGCCCAAAAGGTGCTCAGCAAGGCTCCTCTTCATCCTGGAAAGATGCATGCTCCCTATTCTTTCATGACCATTGGGGTGCCACAGGGTTCTGTCCAGGGCCCAGTGCTATTCAACATCTTTATCAATGATTTGGATGAAAGAATAGGGAGCATAATTATCAAATTTGCAGATGACACCAAATTAGGAGGAATAGCTAATACCCCAGAGAACTGGATGAAAATTCAAAATGGATTAGAAAGTTGGATCAATGCTAACAAAATGAATTTCAACACAGAGAAATGTAAGGTACTGCACTTAGGGCAAAAAACTGAAATGCATAGATCTAAGATGGTTTAATGAGACCACGTGTGAAAGAGATCTAGGAGTCCTAGTAGACCACAAGTTGAACATGAGTGTGATGCAGCAGCTAAAAAGGCCAATGCAAGTTTAGGCTGCATCAATAGATGAATAGTATCTAAATTAAGGGAAGTAATAGTGCCACTGTATTCTACTTTGGTCAGGCCCCACAATTCAAAAAGGATGTTGAAAAACTGGAGTGTGTCCAGAGGAGGGCAACTAAAATGGTGAAGGGTCTGGAAACCATGCCCCATGAGGAATGACTTAGGGAACTGGGTATGTTTAGTCTAGAGTAGAGATGGTTTAGAGGTGATATGATAGCCCTGTTTAAATATGAAGGGGTGTCATATTGAGGATGGAGTAAGCTTGCTTTCTGCTGCTTGAGAGAACAGAACTCGGAACAATGGATGCAAGCTACAGAAAAAGAGATTCCACCTCAACATTAAGAGGAACTTCCTGACAGTGAGAGCTGTTCAATAGTAGAAAACACTTCCTTGGAGTCTTCTTCATCCATCTGTCAGGGATGCTTTGATTTTGAGTTCCTGCATGGCAGAGGGTTGGACTGGATGGCCCTTGTGGTCTCTTCCAACTCTACGATTCTATGATTCTATGAAATTTTTCCAAGAAATCCCTGTGATAGCATCACTGTAGGGTTGCCATAAGTCAGAAATGATTTGAAGAACAACAAGAGACAGATATAAGATTGTGTTTTCTCTGTTATTTAACTACTGAATGGATTTAGCCATGGCTGCATGGACTCTCCAGTATTCCACAGGTGGACAGTATGATCCTGTTTTAAAGCAGCACAGGTTAGGATTAAGCACCAAAGTCTTCTACTAATAGCCTTCAGAGATATGTCAGCAGGAGACTTTTCCAGACGAACTGCTCTGCTAAGATCCACCAACAGAAGAACCCAAAGGAGCTGCAGGAGGTCAAAAGGAGAAGCTGAGTTATGCCAGGTCCAACCTCCCATAATCCAGGAAAATGTCTGGCACAAATTTAGACCAGGTTGAAGGTAGACCTAAATAATATTCAAGGTTCCTAGACTGCAAAGGGTGAGTAATTAATGCAGTTTCAGCTGACCTAACATCAGCTCAGCTGGCCCTTAGCCATTTTCACCAGTAGCGTTGCACTAAAAGCAGGGACATATTTTTACTTGCTTGCTTGCTTGCTTCCTTGAGTGGTGGAAATGGAGTGGAGTCTAGTAGCCCAGTGTCATCACCTAAGACCTTATCCCACGCTGCTCTCAAAAGTGGCAAGAAAGAGATATGAGCATCATTGCAGTACTATAGCGCTAGTATAAATATGGCGCTAGCGCTATAATAGCGCTATGGATAAGCTCGTGCTATTGCAATGCCCGCTGAAACCGACATTCAAAAGAATGCGAATGATGCTGCATTCCGAGCGGTTTCTTGCTGGATTCTGAGCGACGTCGTGTAATCACACGGAAAACTATAGCGCTATAGCGCCTGATTCTTAGTGGATTCTTGCTGCTTTTGGCCCCGTGGGATAAGGTCCCTAGTTGTTGCTGTGTGCCTTCAAGTCGTTTCCAACTTATGGCAACCCTAAGGCAAACTTATGGGGTTTTCTTGGCAACATTTGTTCAGAGAAGGTTTACCATTGCCTTCTCCTGAGGATGAGAGCATGAGAATTGCCCAAGGTCAGCCAGTGGGTTTCATGACCAAGCTAGGAATTGAACCCTGGTCTCCAGAGTCACAGTCTAGCACTCAAACTGCTATGCCACCCTGGCTCTCTGGATAGTGTAATCCTGGACAGAGAAGAACAGGAGTGAGAATCATGTAGCCCTTCAGAGCTTGTTAGATTGCAACTCCCAACACTGGCTTCATTCACTCTACACAATCATAACACTATATTCCACTTCAATTGCCATAGCAAAACCCCATGGAATTCTGGATCTTGTAATATAAGGAATAGTAGAGCTCTCTGCCCACCAATGGCACTACTTTTCAACAGTGGTGGAGTTGCATGCTCCTATGAGGCAAAAGACTACACTGACAGTAGCAGTGCTGTTAGTAGGGTTTCCCATTCAGACAGGTTTCTGCCAAGGAGCCAGACTAAATGTGCCAAACAGCTACTGGGCAGCAGCAGGAGGAGGAAGGAGTAATACTGGTGGATGATTTCTCAGAGACAATGGCAGTGGCACCATGCTAAATGCTTGTTAGTACTGTGCAGAAGGAGGCAATGATAAACCCCACTGAATTTCTTTTATCATCTGCACTGCAGAATCTGCACTGCAGAAATAATTCAGGTTGACACAACTTTAACTGCCATGGTTCAGTGCAATGGAATTCCGAGAACTGTTGTGGCACCAGAACTTTCTGACAGAGAAGGCTGAATATTTCCCAAGACTACAATTCCTAGAATTCCACAGCATTGAGCCATGGCAATTAAAGTGGTGTCAAATTGGATTATTTCTGCAGTATAGATGCAGCCTTAGTGAATATGTAGATTCAATAGAAGAACTTGAAAGACCATCTGACACTCAGAGAACAATTTAACATCTAGCAGTACAGATTTGGGAACTATCTGCACTTGAAGCTGGGCCAGAGCTTTGGCTGAAAGTATGTGAGAACACATTATTTGCTTATATTTTCTTTTATTGCATCCTTTTAACCTAAACAGAGCAGGACGAGGGTGAATCAGGCCCTCCAGAATATGTGTGTGTGGGGGGGTGCGTGTAAAGTCTTCTCCCCAAGACATAAAGTCGGAACCATACAAGATTCACTAATGGTTATATGAAAATAGAGGTCCTGAATGAAGTTGCTGAGGGCAAGTGAAAGTAAATCTTCCTCTCCCACCACCAGTGATCCAGTTGCTTCTATAACTGCTGCTTTTCCACTAAGAACCAGCAAACCTAACCAGGGTAATGGAAAGGCTTTAGTATCTGCTCCCTCACTGAAAGACCTTTCATACTGTATAATTATAGTGATTAATTCCACTTTGACTTTCAAGGCTGTATAGAACCATGGGTTTGTGGTTGAGACATTGCAGCTCTCTGGTTAAAAACTCTAAATGTTCCTTCTTAAATTGCAAATCCCAGCATCCCATAGGATGGAACCATTGCAGTTAAAATGAATCATAGCACTATAACAGTATAGTGTGAATGAGCTCTTACAAAACCTGAAGCAGACTCCCTGCAACCCAGTCTTTAGCAAATAATTGGAATGGGGAGGAAGCCAAAACTTTCATACACCAGCAATTCTGAGCCACTACAGTCCTGTGTGTGAAATACATGTGCATTTATAGCTCCTGGAACACTGGGTGACTCTGGATGCAGTCCTCAAGATCAAAAAGACTGTGTACCCTTGTGCAGGAGAAAAAGCAGCTAAAAGATTGTGTTAATCTGTAGAACTAGCAAATAGCATGTCTTTGATCCTGAGATCCTTTTGAAAATATGTGTTGTGGCAAAATAAGGCAAACTGTGAGAATCAGAAATGGATGGAAGGCAAATAAAAACTTTGATGAAGTTTCCACATTCACACTAGAACTGAGGCACTGCCTATTTAAATAAATGTTTGCCCTCTAAGTTGCACTAAAATTGGAATTCATGATTACTTCTTTCTGGATACAGCATACAAATGTAGCTGAAATATAAGGTGCAATTGTAGAGAGCTCATTCTTGGAAATGTGCCTTATTGGTTCTCTGTGGGAACAGCATTACTGGATTCATAAAACCCCACACAAGCTCACCCTCTTGTAAAAAGCTTGCTTGAATACTCAAAAATTGGACATTGTTATTTTAGGTGGGTTTTTTCTATCTGAAATAACAAACAGTCCTACAGTACATCAGCTGCACTATCTTGCCAAAACAAATTTAATTTTGCTTGAGTTTCTATTCTGTATTGTTTCCTGGATCATTCTGTACTGTACATCCTTTCCTACAAAGGTTTATTTAGAAGTCACTGGCCAAGACAGGCTGCTATTTATAGATTCTTAACCTCTTCTAGGCTGCACTCTGAAATCCTTCCAGCTAAGCTGAAGACAAAAATCAGGCCCTAGAAAAGTTCCTTTTGTGAAGCACAGTTCTCAGAATCTCCAACTAGTGTGGCCAGCAGCCCTGATAGCCGGGAGATTCTGGGGGGTTGCAGACTGCCAGAAATAGTGCAAATTGAGTCCACTTTTAGGGTTAGGGTTAGTGCTAGGGAATCATGGGAACTGTGTTTTTTCTGGGACATTGAGCCTTCTCTGTCAGAGAGCTCTGGTGCCACAATAAACTACAGTCCCCATGATTCCCTAACCCTAACCCTAACCCTAACAGTAGACTCAATATGCACTATTTATGGCAGTCTGCAACCCCGCTCTAAGAACTGCTGTCCAAAAGAGTAACTTTTCCAAGTACTGCACCTAACACATGGCAAAGTGGGAAGAGAGGGGCAGATCTCTTCAGTCTCCTATTGATGGCATTCTTGTGATATATATGGGACTGTGATGTCTATGTGAGGCAGCACCTCAACACTTTAGTAGCACTATTTAACAAAAAGGAATGTGAAGGTTATTTCTCCACGAATATGAAGCCACATGTGGCTTCTTTCCTTAGGTTTTCTCCTTATAACCACTCTGTGACTTATGCCAGGTAGAACAATAAAAACTATCCCAAGGTCATCATGGCTGCCTAGGCATTTAAATGTGGTTTATCCTATGACATTTTAACCACTATACCACATCAGAACTTCTTTACTATTCTTGGTTGGTAGGTGTTATTGACTTAAAGCTAATATGACCTCATGATACAAGCTGGGAGTAAGTGCTGTTGAACACTATAAATCTTATTTTTAAGTAAACGTGCAATGTGTTCTGTACTGCTAGGATGGGCTGGGCAATGAGTGCCGCTCCATATGCCTCCAGTTCCCACACTCCAAATGCCAAAGAAGACAAGGTGCCTGCACCCTTTATCCCTTGTGTAGTAACTGGAATTACAAAAGATATATCTTGCTAAGATGTCTGGATGAGTTGCAGGAGATTTGCAGTAGTACTATACAACTAGTAAAGGGACAGTAGTCCTGTCATCTTTGGTGTATAATCACCCTAAAAACCAATATATTGAACCAATGCACACCTTTTAACATTTTGGAAATGAAAATTGAGGCATGTGTAGTCATGCAACATCAGAGTGAGGTCAAGATGGCAAACGTTATTAATGAGGAAGAACACGCAAGATAGAAGAGACTGTAGCAGTTTGCTTTTGCCTGAGTCTACAGGGAAGAGCAAGATTCTGCCCATTCATCTTCTCTCCTCTACTCCCTGTTGCATAAACTGAGAGCAAACTACTTTTGCTCAGATTACACCAATTGAAGAAAGCAGAAACTTTGAACTCAATTTGTAGCAACTGAAATAAGATGAGGATCAAGGGTGGAAGTGAGATGGGAAAGTTAGGGAAGGAAAGAGAAATCAGGACATTTTAAAAGCAGCTGAAAATCTGGGACTGTCCCAGCCAAACTGGTAGAGTTAGAGAGTATGAGGCAATCTCCCATCCAAATACTAACCAGGTCAGTCACAGCTTAGCTCCTGACAGTAGACAAGATCAAGGGTGTTCCCTCCTGTGCTGCTGCTGAAAAGGAGGATTAAATGGAACTGCAACATTGGGATATTTGGAGGGTACATAATGAATTAAACTGCAAATGAAAAGAACACAAACATTTGACTGCTGGAACAATCATAAATGTGTTTTAGTACAGTTAAACCCTATTATGTTTGGTAAAACTTAGGTAGGTTTAAGATAGAAGCTCCAAAATTTCAAACACTGTGGTGCTCAATGGTCAAGGAACTGTTGTACAAAAACCTTTGTAAGGCAGGTGGTTGGGGAAAGCTAGCCCAAGTGATCCAAGCATGTGGCCAGAGGACCAGTATTTCCTTCTCAATGGGTACCCTTCCAACTGGAATGTGACAATATGTAGAAAGTGTCCAAAGAAAGCAAAAACAGATCTGCATGTGTGTTTAGTGGACTGCAAGTAGACCACAAATGGACTCCTCCAGGTATTGAACTGCAGTTTTCATCAAACCTAGCTGGCATAACTAGTAATGAAGGATTCTGGGAACTGCAGTCCAAGAACATCTGAGGGCATAAATTACTCAGTCTGGTGAACATGCTTATGGTTTGCTTTACACCCAGTTCCTGTATGGCTCAGAATATGTTTACAACCATTTGAGAATATAAACAAGATCTGACTCTGGGCCAAAGTGCTGAAGACAGTATGGCTGGATGCTTCTCCAGACAGATAAATATGGTGATGCATTGAGCAATGCAGTCTGCACACGATCCACACATAGACAGACAGACAGACAGAGCATGTACAAAACTAGAAGAAAGGTTGGGGGTTCTAGCTCTTCTTTTGTAAGGGAGGGAGAGGTATAGTTACAAGGGGATGGGTAGTTTTTAAAGAATATTTGGGCAGTTAGATTCAAGTCAAGCTAAATTTGCATTATTTTTGGTAATATCAAAAAGTAGCTGATAACAATATAAAAAGTAAAATTTAGTAGTCCAAGTTCTCCTTGAATCCCAGAGCCTGATCAAGCATACCCATTCATCCCGCATCTGTTGAAGACACTCCAGACACAGGCTGTGCTGCTATTAGTATGTGTTTTATAACAGTGCTACTTAGCTATCTGATAATATGGACTGGCAGAGCTTTTTCCCTAAGATAGGAGCCATATTTGTGACCATTCACTACAACAGTTTTTTTCTTTCCTGGAAACGCACCACAGATCAGCAGCCAAAAATTCATAGCTGGG